ATAACATACCATATTCCACTTGAAAGTGACAAGAACACACACACACAATCAAAAACCTAGAAATAAAGCCAAGTGGAAATCTGGTGTTCTCATGCGTGAGGCATCAGTGGCCAGTGCTGGGTCACCTACCAAAGGGCAAAGGAGGGTAATGAAGCCAAAAGACAGGAATGTTCATCTTTTAGCACTGAGCCGTTCTGAACCCATCCAGAGCGAAGCCATGTGAATTCCTCAAGACCCCCCAAACCACAGCCTCCTCTTCAGCCCTTGTCTGGGGTAAGGTTTCATTACACACCCTGGGCCCTGTTCCAATCCTCTCATCTGTCCCTCTAAGCGGCTCCGACAGATCACTCCACAGTACACGGATTCTCGTTGGGATAATGTCTTGGAGAGTAACAACTTGAAATAGGATCCAGTCAGAGTGCGTTAACAGTAAAGCATTTCTTTATGACACTTCCCCCAAAGCAAGGTTGCAAACCAGGGAGAAATATATGACTAGAAAAACTGAATGCAGAACAAGAAACAGCTCCATTGCTAATACATTTTCGTGTGACACCATTTTTGCTGATGGGGAAACTTTGTTTAAAGGAAAACATCGCACGTTCTTTTCTCTTCCCTCCCTTCGGTCTTGCTTTCCTTCCTGCACCTTCTTCCTTCCTTTTCTTCTTCCTTTCTCCTATTCCTTTCCTCCCTTTCTTTTCCTTCCATTTTCTCTCCCATTGGACATATTTTCAAAGTGAGACACAAGAGATTTTTCTGGGGAGCCGTCTTCAAGTCTCCCTTCTGGGACATTTCCCCCAAAGAGTGAGGACGTTCAGACACCACCGACTCCTCCCAGATCCCATCTAAATGGCAAACCTACTGTTCGCCCAGAAAATTGGCTGAGCTCTTCTCAGACACACTTAAAACGTTCCTATATAGGAAAAGATCCTATAAAAGCCTTTTATATCTCCATTATACCGAAATCTAACTTAACTTGTCTCTGCTATCAAGGGCCATGGTTAAGCTACTGTGGCTTAAGGGAACCAAGCTTTCTCTGCCGTCAGCCTGGGCAGCCAGACCTGTCTTCTGTGTTTGGTGACCACCGAAAATCCATCTTCTTAGAGTTTTTTGGTTCAATAAAACATGAAACATATTTGGCCTGGCATTCTTCCTCAGGATTTTTAAACCCGTGTGCACTTTATGGCAAATGAGATCCATATGTTCCTGATTCACTGATACTTAAACCATTAGGATGCTGTTTTGTAAGAACACTTTGATGTCCAAGGGCCGTCGAGCTGTTTGGAGGGCTTTTCTCTTCACAAACAGGAAGTTTTCCCTTCTTGAGGAGAATGTGAAGTGAGAGGCCAGTTTCCCCGGAGGTGGGACAGTGAGCTGGGAGTGGTTCCGGCCTGCCAGGATGGGTTTGTCCCACTCCGGACCCTGCCCCTGGGATGGGTGGGCAGGGGACTTGTGTAAGGAGCCTTGGGGCCGAGATTGGGCCTGGCCTGGCGCCTGGGTCATTAATGCCTTGCCCACACCCCTGGGACTCAGACCCATCTCCCAGAATGGACTCAACATGCCTTGGTGTGTTCATTGCTTTTATGGGGCATCAGAATAACATGTGGCAAAAACAGCCAAACATGGCAGGGAGAAGAGTAGGGGTGACTTTCCCTTCTCAAAGACTGCTGCAGAGATGGTGCCCTGGGCTTGATCAGGGGGTGGGTAGGAGTCAAGACAGGGAGTTTGGGGACCAGTTCTGGGTGTGGCCAAGACCACTCACGGGGCATCCGAAGGGCTGCGATATTGAGTGTGCTTGTCAGGGACCAGCCTGCACCTTACAATATCCAGGAGGGCCCTACACCACTGAGGTGGGAAAGAGGAAGAGCGAGGGCTTCGGATGGCCACAGGCCTGGGTTTGGAATACCAGTTCTCCCCCGCCAACTTGGCTGAATGATTTCACCCGTCAGAGCCTCAGCTACCCACCCCTCACCCCATCATCAGTGCCACCTAGACCAGGGTCATCATGAGAAATGATGGCTGGAACTGGACTGGCTGCATCACCTAGCCCCCTCTGCAACCTCCACCCACAGCAGATGTCTGGCTTCCAGCATTCAATAGGCTTTCTGTCTGCCCACTGCTCTCTCCAGCTTTTCCTGGGATGTGGGCTATTTCCCTGGCCCAAGAGGCCAGGTTCTCCTCTCCTCCAACTAGTGCAGTCAGGGGGCTGGCACATGATATAGGCCCGGCCAGCAGGATCCTGTCATCTGTGGTTTTGAATCTTGACTTCAGCACAAGGACACCTGGAGGTCAGACTCACCACAGCAGCAGTGGAGCTGGGGGCCGTGGGTTCCTGCTGCATGTTCCCGCTGCCCTGTCCTCAGACATTCTTGGTTCCCACTCACAGTCCAGTCCTAGCTCTCCAGCGTCCTGTTGATCTGAGGAGTGCCTGAAGTCCTAAGGAGGACCCTTTGTGCTCAGGGCAGAGGAAATTTTTGTTGCTTGAAGCCAGCAGGCCTGACAAATCCGTGCCTCTAAGTCCTCACAGTCACCTTGCCATCTACCCTGATGTTAATCTGTACCTGTGGCTGGCTCCTCATCTAAAACACAGCCATCCAGGCTGCTCCCTCACACCCTCACGCCCAGCACGCTGGTTCCCAACTTGCCCCTTGTGGCTGCCCTTCCCTCCCACCCACATGCACAGAACACCCTGCACCTGTCTGTTCTGGCGGGGCCAACTCCAGGGCTGAGCACACGACCAGTCAGCGGGCTTCATTCCCCTGGGCATGGTGAAGGGTTCAAGAATGGGCACATGACCTGAGCTGGTCCAATTTGAGTAAATCTTACATGCCATTTGCAGAAATTCTTGGAAAAATTAAGCTCACTTTCAGCTGGAGTTGCTAAACCTGTTGGTTGCAAACCTTTGGGCACACTTATCCTTTCCCTCTTGGCTCCTGTCTCAGGAGGACAGGTGGGCTGCCTGTTGTCCAGGGCTGAATCTTCATCCCTTCTCTTTGGACTTTTGGATCAGACACACCTGAGTTCAACTCCCGCCCTGCCACAAAATGAGCCTTCCATGACTGAGGTCACAGTGGCTTGGCTCCCTGTAAACAGCCCCTCCTGGGCTTTGGGGCTCCACAGAGGGCAATCTGTGTTCCCAGATGGTCATGGTTGCACAGTTGCAAAGTGTTCACAAGTGATGTCACATCACTGTAGATCATGCAGCAATGTGGTCCTGCTGGTATGGGACAAAGTATCCCTGTAATCCAATTTTTATCACTATACAAAGTACCTGGGTTGGAGTTCCTAGGGAATGGGGCTGGGCATATGGCAGGTGACAAGAGGTTTGAAAGGCATCCACTCCAGGCTTCCCACCACCTGGCAGGACCCCCATGCTGGACATGCAAAAAACCTCCCCTGCCATTGCTCAAGGGCATCTCTCGAAAGGGAATTGGGAGAAACCTGAGAAGACACACCGTCTGAACCCCTGACCTTACATCACTCCTGTTCTTCACAGTGATCAGCCCAATTTGGGCTTATTGCCATGAGCAGCATTGTATAGAAGTATGTGGGCTGGAGAACTCATTTCACATCCCTCCAATGTAGTCTTCTGAAGGACGACTTCACCATTTCTCTGGCAAGCAACTTTTCCGAGTTTGGCTGCCTTGTCTGCAGGATAAGGGTGGTGTGACCCTCTCCTCCAAAAGTGGATGGAAGCAGCCCTCAGCACAGTGCCTGGCGAACAGTCGGCACACGGTGAATACCTCATTCCACACCCACCCAATTTGCACTGTGCAGCCTCTTCTATCCCATTATCTCCTCTCCCTTCCTCTAAAACCCCATTTCAGCTCCTCATCTCTTAAATTAAAATAAAACAGAAGCCTTTCCTTAGCCCATACCCAGCTACCACCCCATTTCTCCCATCTACAACCAAATTTCTTGAGTTCCTTCTTGGCAACTCCTGCTACTGCATTTCCCACCCACAGCTCGGAGCTCACTGCATGCCTGTTTCTGACTCAACCTCTCCTCTGATGAACTGTCCTGAGGTTTACCAAGGACCTGCAGCAAGGCCTCCTTTTTTATATACCTCAATGGCACAAAGACAGGAGGAGCTATGGGAGGTCTGAGGGACATGCTGGAAGGAAAAACCTCAGGAGATTCAAGACTAGATTATAGCAAGTACACTCTCAGGGTTGGGCAAGAATGAACATCCCCTCAGATCTGGGGCCCAAGGCTCCTCATTAGCCTCACCCTAGTCCTGGCCCCACTTCTCACAGTGGGAACACAGACCCAGATTGCCAGGCCCACTAACATTTCAAGAGAAGTTGGGGAGGTGGATTTTTGCATGAAAGCCCATGACTCTATAATGTCAGCCCTGAAGTCAAATAAAACACCAAACACTGTGTATGTCAAGTACAATATACCAGTAGGCTAGATTTAGCCCCTGTGCTGTGGGTCACAGACCTCAGCCCGAGCTGGCTGAAGTGATAATGATTGGCCTAGGGAAGCTGTGGCTGTGCTTTGGGGGTGATACAGAAAGGGGAGAGTCAGAATAGGCAAGGAGGCAGAGAATGAGGAAAGCGATACCTCTGGGCCCAGAGAGCATGTGGACCAAGGCCCTCAGCTCCAGTGGGGGGACCCTAAGGGATGGCAGGACCCACCCGGTGGCTGTGGTTGGTGTGACCCTACACACTGGAGTTTCTAGCCTCTGCGAAGACTCCTGCCCATGTGGATTTGAGAACATGCTGGCTGGGGCAATGGGAATCCCCGTGGATCCAGGATGAGCTGAGGGGACCGGTGAACCAAAACCCCTCCTTGGCATAACCCAGGGGTGGGAGAGTCCCAGTAATGACCTAAACCATCAGGCTGACCCCTTCAAACCACATCTAAAGTTGGTTGAAAGAAAATGAGAAATGCTTATTTCTTGCCCACCTGCAATTCACCTCCTCTGCTTTTAAGTGCACTTTTCCATTTTTTGCCTATATTTAGTCTTTGGGAGACTTTTTTTAGATCTGTGCTCTTACCTGAGAACTGCCTTTCCTGTGTCTGTTCCTCTCACCATGCTACACCAGTGCCTACACAGCACCATCCAATAGAAAGAAGGTGGCAGCCCCATCAGAAATCCTAGAGTTTCTAAATTTTAAACAGTGAAAGCAAACAAAATGAAAATTTAGTTACATAGTTTAAGCCAACATATAAAAAAATAAGTCATCTCAATATTTAATCAACATAAAAAAACCTGTGAGATATCTTATATTCTCCTATTTGTATTAAGTCTTCAAAATCCATTGTGTCTTTTACATGCACTGCACGTACCTCTCCGTGTGGACTAGCTGCATTCCAAGTGCTCAGTAGCCCAGCTCAGCGGTGTGACTAACGACTGGGGGCTGAGCAGTCCAGGCAGAGCGTGTTTGTAAGTGTTCAGTGAAATGAATGACTCAGGGGCTATAAGAAAGTTATGGAATCTCACCAAACGGAGGCCTGCCCTGCTCTCCCCCAGGTGGGTGCTTGACAGGGTCAGCTTGTAGCCTGAGCCCCCAGTGAGCTGTATCCCACTGGTCTTGGTGGTCTTGGTGACAGGACATCCTCAGCACTTGCTTCTCTGAGCCCAGATGTCAGCCACATGAAGCCTAACGATCTACAGCTGGTCCTTGGGTATCTTTGTACTCCCAGAGGCTCAAGCCAAGGAATGATGATAATTATAATAATAATTGCTACCATTTAATGCTTGCCCATGGCCTGGGTGCCAAATGGGGCCCTTTATAGGATTGCCCATTTGCACACACAGACTGAGATGTTCTCCACTTTATAATTGAGACAGTTGGGATACAAATAAGCAGACTTGCCTGAGGCCACGCAACAAGAAAGTGGCTGAGCCAGATTTTGGACCCAGAGCTTTCTTACCACTCATCACCCTTCCCTGACAGACTCCTGTCATTTGCCTCCCTGGCATCCATTCTCAATCGCAGAAGAGCTCTTGCTTATATTGTATGGAGGGCCCGATCGCCACTGGAAGTCCTGGTCTGAGCAGGCTCCCACCAGCCCCAGAAGCAGGGAGGAGGCTGGGCCTAAGCCCATTAGTGGTGTTACACCCACAGCCACACTGGTTCAGGAGTGGGTTTATGACCCAGCTGAGGGGTCTCAGGCTAGGAAGGTAACACTGAATCAGAGAGCATAGCATGTGAGGCCTGGCCCTGAAGCAACCAACCTGTGAGGACTGAAGAATGGAGGCAACGCAACAGGAGAGAAGATTCAGGAAGAGTCAGGGAGAAGGTGTGTTCTGGCAGCACCCCTGGATTCCTGCCCCAAATCCTGCCTGAGCTGAAGTTACCTGGGCTGCTCAGTGACGTGGGCCAAGTCTGCAAATCTAGAAAGTGGCTGATGTGGGATCTGAAGCAGGTCTAGAACAATTGCCCATACACCAGAAGAAAAGGCAGATGGTAGCCACACTGCAGCCAGATAGGAGTGACCCCCTTTCCACTGACCCTGACCTTTTACCTTTCCTCAGCCCCACCTGGAACCCCGGCGGTGTCCCAAGGCTTAATTACTTAGAGCCATTGTATCTTTAAGCAAATGGCTCAAATTCCTTCATATGTTCAAAGTAGGCAAAATACAAACAAAAAGACAAAGCAAATCTTGTACTATTTTGCAACTGCGTCATGCCCTCACTAGGTCGTTCTTAGGTATTTTACCATCTAATGCTGGAGGTGCCATCCTAGGCTGCCAAGAGGGCTGCTGGTGGTGCCTGATGCCACTGGTGGGTCCCACGTCAGTTTGCTATGTATCAGGTACTCTGCTGGGTGCCAGTGAGCAGAGGGTGAGCGAATGCAGAAACCAGTCCCAGCTAACAGTCTTGTGCAAACTTCCACCCATGATTGAGTTCAGGAATTGTTTAGCAACTGACCTGGGGCTGATTTCTTGGGTTAGGGCTTTGCAACCAAGCCTGCAGCTTTAACCACTGATGGGATGCTTAAATGTCTGGCAGGTGGGTGCCTGGGTGATAGACTTGAGGGAGACTAGTAAGGGGCATTACCTTTTAATAAACTGATCATTACTGGGTGTCAGTCAGGGTCTCTGGAGGAAACACACTGTAAAGGGCTGTTGGACTGGAGTTTAAAGATATACATGCCAACAAGGGGTTGTAAAGGCCGCAGGGGGCAGCTGCCACTGCCTGTAGGCAAAAGAGACAAAGGGAAGAAAGGTGGGGATGCAGAATCCGGAAAGAACCTAGCTGTGGCTTTCCCACGCATCTGACATCATGTGGCTATAGCCATTAGTGATGTATGTCCCAGTTCTATTCCTACAGCTCAGCCTTTTTTCCCGGGCTCTAGCCCACCATTGCCTGATGTATCCACCTGGGTCTCCCACAGGCAATGCAGATTTAACAAGTGACAATCTGACTGAAAGCTGGATTACTACACAGGCAGGTGAAACAAGCATCCAGCAAGCCAGAGGGACCAAAACTGTGAGAAAAATGGAAAATATTTCAATATATTCTTATTTCAAAAGAGGTATCTAAGAATCCAAGACGTTTAAGGTAGTGCCAGAATGAATAGATAACTATAAGGAAAAAAAGGGAACCTGTCCCTAGCCTCACACTGTGCATAAAACATAACTTTTGTAAGAGCTAAAAATTTTTAATTTCTAGAAGAAACATAGAGGAAAATCTTTAAAAATTTGGGACAAGCACATGTTTGTTAAATAGGAGAAATACTATAAGCCCTATTGTTACATAAACAAATAACATATAAGTTGAATTTATCAAAATTTAAATATTCTTTTCTTCAAAAGACAGAATTAAGAAAATTAAAAGTCAAACTACATTCTGGGAGAAGTATTTGCAAAACAATTATCTGACAGAAGACTTGTATCCAAATAGAAAAGAACTCCCTACATCCTGTTAACAGGGACATAAGTAATCCAATTTTTTAAATGGGCAAAAGACTGCCCTTTGTAAGAGGGTTATCAATCTCCAATAGGCATATACAAAGATGTGGGTCATCAGGCAAATACAAATTTAATCCACCATGAGATACTACTTCATATCTACAGAAATCACTAAAATCTTTTTTTAAAAAGTGTGACCTCCCAAGTGTTCTTAAGGATGTGGAGCAACTGACACACTCATGCACTGCTGATGGGAAAACAGAATATTACAGCCACTTTGGAAAACACTTTGGCAGCTTCTTTAAAAAGTTAAATTTATACTTACCAGAGGCAGAGGTGGAGGTGGACGGGATTCTAACTTCTGACCTGCCACTTAGAGAATAAAGCTTGGTATGAGCCTCTTTCTACCACCAAAATTCTGTTGTCATTTTTCAGTCTTCGTAAATCCATAGTGAACCTGCCTGGGGCTGAAATCCTCAGGCAAGACACCAGTTTATTATAAAAGGATTTGACTCAGGTGCAGCCAGATGGAAGAGATGATAGAGCAGGGTAAGGGCACAGAGCTTCCCGTGCCCTCTCTAAGGGTACCACTCTCCCTGCATCTCCACAGGTTCACCAACTCAGAAGCTCTCTGGACCCCATCTTTTGAAGCCTCTGGAGGTTTCATTACACAGGCGCGATTGATAAAATCATTGGCCATTGGTGACTGAACTCAATCCCCAGCCCCTCTCCCCGCCCCCATGCCAAGGGGCAATACTCAAGAGCTCCAACCCTCTGATCAGGTGGTTAGTTCTCCTAGGGACCAGCCTGTATCCTTAGGTGTTTTACAAAAGTCACCTCATTAACATGACAATAAACACCTTTATTGCTCTTATCACTTGGGCAATTTCAAGGATTTTAGGAGTTCAATGACAGAAATGGGCACAAAGGCTAAAGGTTTATTTCTCCTGGTACATCACAATATCCCAATCCCTCTCCTCCACCCTCTTATCCCATCCACCACCAAGTCCTGTCCATCCTACCTCCTCCACATCTACTTCTGTCCATCCCCACAGCCCCCCAACTAACTCAGACTCCTTTACACCCTCTCCATCTCCTGTTTCTCTTTCTCTTCCCACTTTACAATCCGCATTGCTGGTGACATGACTTTGTCACATCCCTGCTTCCACTTATCACTCCTCTGACAGAGACTGCTCCCAGCCTACCTATCTTCCTCTTCTCCCTTTTAGGAAAGGAAAGCTGATTTTAGTAGGATTGGCAGTGGACTCAAATGAGAAACTGCATTTACAAGCCCTTTCAGATACATGTCTGAGTTTTGCTTAACAATGTGGGGTGGGAATCCCAGGGTGGGGCTTCTAGGAAAGCACATTTACTAAGGGACTGACTTGGCTGGGAGGCCCTTTTGACCTTCTTCTTCCCAGTTCCTCTTTCTTCCTGGCTGGAATGCTAACTTGATGGCTAGAGCAATAGTGGCCACTTAGTGACCATGAAGAGATGTTGAGGATGGGAACAGGTACTAAGAACAGTAAAACTGGAAGATAAAAGGGAATCTGGGATGTTGAAACATTGTGGACATTAGCTATGAACTGCCAACTTCTGGATTCTCTTAGAGAAAAAATACCTATCTTGCTTAAGCTATGGTTATTCTGTGTCTCTCTTACAAAGAGCTGAAAGTACTTTTTATCTGCTATAGCATCTCCTCAGTCCTCTGAATAAAGTCTTGGAATTCCTTAATATGGCTTACAAGGTTCTTCATGCTCTAGCCCTCAAGATTTCCATGGATGAAGTTCAGTGGGTTCAATTAAATTATATGCAAAGTTGCGGAGGGCGCGTGCACATACATGTGTGTGTGTGTGTGTGTGTGTGTGTGTGTGTGTACATTTTTCCTAGAAAGGGGATGTGGATAAAATGAAGGTTCCTACAACCAGGATTCATACCTAGCCCTGGTCGGTGTGGGCAATACGTCATTATTGACTCTATATAAAGAGCTCCATCCATGCTCTGGGCAATGCGGTGACCTGGTAGCAAGGCTGCAGGAGAGCAGAGACGAGACAGGAGTGTTGGCTGCACCGAGGACAGAGACTGAGACGGCTGCAGAGGCAGAGACGAAGGAGGATTACAGACCTGCAGACTGTTGGATACAGATGTAATTCTAGTGCTCGGCCTACTGCTGGGAGAACAAACCGGGCAATAAACCGTTTCACCCCAAGAATATTTCAGTGTCATTCCTCGGTCTCACTGAACCCATGGTGGACTTGCCCGGGGCTGAAACCCATTGGCAAGATGGGGTGTCAACAGTTTTCATCAGATTCTCAAAGGGGCCTGTGACACCTGCTGCTCCCCTCCAATATTTTCAACTTTATATAACAAACCTACTGAGTATGAATTATTATTCCCTTACACATTAGGAAACAGATTCTGAATGTTTAATCGCCTTGTAAAATGCTCTACTCAGGCAAGTGAAGGGAGAAGGAATACTGAATGAGACTGGGGAAAAAGATGCCAGGAAAGAAGCAGAGTATTTCTGAAGGTTGGAAGCCAGAGCAGAGTGCATGTGCACTCTGGGCCTGGGACGCGCCAGGACTTCCCCAAGGCCTGCTGGGTCTCTCCACCAGGATGGCTTTCATTAGCAAGAGCAGTCCTTTTAAGGAGTTATCTGCCTTCACTTCTGCTTGACTGTAATGTTCTCCAGATGATTTCTCAGTAATTGGGAGGCATTAATGAGTAACTGAAGACATCTCATCAACCTAGTTTGTTGCTCTGTTCAATTTTGGAGTTACCCCTGAGAAGTGCATTAGAGCATGTGTTTGGAGCCTTGTTCGGTGGCCACAGTAGGGCTTCACAGGCCAGCTGATTTCAGTAACCCCTGTCTTTGCTCAGTTTCAGGAGAGAATCAATGCAACTTCTGAAAAATCACAAGGTTTGCTCAGCACCTGGTTTGCTAAGCCCCTTATTAAGTCTCACAGACTCTTTGAAAACATCTTTGTACACTCTTGGAACAATATTATGAAGGGTTTTGTGTAGTGGCCTTTTTATTTCCTGTGTTTAGGTGCCCAGCATGTGAACCTCTTTCCTGTGTTTGAGGAACTCCCTACCACATGAATCTTCGTGACAGCCGGGGTCCACCTCCCTCACTTTCCCAGTCTCCTTTGCACGGCATCACCAGCCATCCTTCCATGTTGTCAGATGGGAAGTAGGGACATTAAGGAAAGGGACAATGGAGAAACCACCTTGATAGAAGCAACTAGAGTAACAGAAACATCTCACTTCCAGCTCCAGCCCCTAGTGGCCAGTACAAGATAATTGGCAGTTTGTGACATCTTGACCTTAGTGGCTATAGTGGTAGTGGTGTCCTTGCAGGACAGGTTCTGTGGCTTCGTGACATAGCCAAGGTTCTGGCTTCCCTTTCTTCCAAGCCTAGGTCTCCCCTTCATGTTGTAGATGAGGAAACTGAGGTGCCTAGCAAAAAGTGACCATGAAGCATAATAGTCAGTAGTCCAGGATTATGGTCTTGATGTCCCAAGCTCAAGACCAGTGCACTTTTCTCTGAGCTATATTCCCTCCTTAAACTTTGAAGTCAGCCAGGAAATATGTTGCAGTGACACAATAATGTAGATCCTCAGTTCCATACCATAAAACTATCTCACTTTACAGAATCCACTTACTGTGTACCTAATAACTGTACAGGTACTAGGAAAGTGTTTCAACTATTCTGTAACAAACCATTCTTAAGTTTAGTGGCTTAAAAAAAGCATTTATTATTGCTAACAGGTCGTCAGGTTAACTGAGTGGTTCTTGGGGTCTTAGCTGGCTTACTTATGCATCTGTAATCATCTGTGTGTCATCCAGGCAGCTCTACTGATGCTGGCTAGGATTCCTCCCATGCCTGGGGATCTGTTGGTAGCAGGATGGCTCTCCTCCACATGGATTTCATCCTCTGGCAGGCTGGCCTAGGATTGTTCTCACAGTGATGGTGGAGTCCGGCAGATCAAGTGGAGGCTTCCAAGGCCTCCTGAGGCCATGGCTTGGGACTGGCATGCCCTCACTTCCACTGCATCCTATCTGCCAAAGCAGGGCACTCAGCAGCCCAGCTTCAAGGGGGGGAGAAATGGACTCCACCGCTTGTGCAAGAGCTGCAAGGTGGCATTGCAAAGGTCATTCTACCACAGAATAATACAAGACCCAGAAGCTTATTTTACTTACATGCTATCTATACCCCTACTTTAAGGTGGCTTATAGACTGAAAAAATACAACTGAAAATATAAGTAAGGAAACCAAAATCTAGAGGAAAATCATAAGTCATAAGTCCTAGGAGGAAGTCAAGATTCTGAGAATATAAATAACTCCAAGGACTCTGGAATTTCCACAGCATCCTTTCCTCCCATCTGACACTGGAACCTCCAGGCTGTAAGTATCTCAAGTCAGAGTGTAGAGCTTGCTTGTCACTTGACTGGTGCAGAGATGGGTGGTCACTTGAAGTCATTAATCTGTTCATGGTTTATTCTGCTGAGTTTCCCAATGGCCAAAGTATGAGGAGGAACATCAGTTGCCTGTTGTGAGAGAGGAAATAATTCTCAACAAAGTTTTCCCTTAATACCTACCACTATAAAAAACAATCCTCATGTACAGCTTCATGCGGGTGGCCCCAGATTACAGAGAGGGCCAAGTCTGTACAATATCCTGACAAAAATAAAGTGCATAGAATACATGGAGCTGGTTCCTTGGCTGCCTCCAGAAGAAGGATAAGAGGCAAAGACTGACAGACATTAGGCAAAGCGGAAACTACCATCATGTAGAAGTCAGGTCAGATGTGTGGCTGTCTTGCCAATGGGTTTCAGCCCAAGACAAGTTCACTATGGATTCTGTGAGACCAAAAAAAGTGACAATGGAACATTCTTGGGATGAAAGGGTTTATATCCAACTTTATTCCCTTGGGTGGCAGGTCAATCACTAGAATCCCATCCACTCAGAGCAAGTCTGCATGCAGCAAGCCAGTCTCTGCCTCCAGGCCTCTCTGACCCCACAGCCGCCTCAGTCTCTGTCCTCGGCTCTGCTACCACTCCAGCCTCTGCTCTCCTGCAGCCGTGCAGCCCAGAGCATTGGGCAGAGCTCTTTATATAGTCAATAGTAATGTATCACCCACACGTGTGTAGTGAGCAAGCTGACCAAGGCCAGGTGAGAATCCTGGCCATAGGAACCTCCCTTTCTCCACAGTGGCCCTGCAAAGAGACAGAGATTTCTGGCACAAGAAATCAAGGGCTGTGCCCTGCAAGAGGGAGACATGGCTGACTTGCGGAGGCCTCATTCTGCCAGGCACTGTGCTAGGCACCATGCATCCAGACTCCCCTTCACTTCCTATAACAACTTATGATGGACGTTTTCTCCATTACATGGACGAAAACTGGGATTCAAAGAAGTTATGTAACTTGCCCAAGGTCACATGGCCAGTAAGCAGCCAAAGCCTGTCTGATTCAGTCAAATTTTGTTCCTCTTTGGTCACACAGAGGTTCACCTCCTCAGAGTACTCAACTATAATATTAAAAACAGCAGTGTGAGTCAGGAGAATGAAAATGCATGGCACCTATAATTCACATCAATACCTTGATTTGGGGGTTACTGCCTAGTTTTTAAGGCTTCAACTCAGAGGAAACATACAGCATAGCTATGAACTCCTTCTCTCTTATAACTGCTTTTATAATGGTAGTAACAGGGACATATTGTATTTGTTTACAGTATTCTTCTTTTGTCATAGAATTTGGAGTGGTGTAAAACAAAAACATATATAATGTAGGATGCACAGAACACAAGAACCAAAGAAAAGGAAAATGTCCCAATCACAAGCTGGTATGGAGTAACCTGAGACTGAGCTTTGAATCCAGTTCTGAGCTTCCTAGCAGCCAAAGCAAAACAGGAATACAAGATTAGTTACCCACATATTTTCAGAAGAGGAGGAAGGCATACCTTTCCTCAGGTTTCTCCTAACACTGGATTCTAAAAGAAATTTACTTATGAAGGCATCATTGAGTGACACAGAAGACAATGTCTTCAAGTTATTTTTTTTTGTAATTAAATACATTAGTAGATTTCACATGGCTGTCTATGTATGACATTAAAGCTCAACTCAGAAAATAAAGTTCCAAGACAGAAATTCTGGTACAAATTGCAAGACACTGATAGAAATGAGCTTTTTATATACTGCCAGAAGGTCATAACAACTTTTCTCTTTTGGTATTCAGGCACAGTCTTGTGGTTCTTTTTAGATTAAATGCTCACAATCATTATTTCACTCCATATCCAGTTAGGACCTTTTCAGCTATAAGTGATACAAAACCCAACTTCCAAGTGTTTTAACTAAAAAAAGAGAATTTTTTATTCATGTTATTGAAAATTCCTGGCTTCAGGCACAGCTAGATCCAGGGGCTTGAATAAGATCAAATGTCCCCACAGCTTGGACTCTTATATCTGATCTGCTTCATGCTAGGGGAGAGAAAGAGTTCCCCCAGCAGAGAGCTATGCCAGCAGCCTCAGGAAAAAGAATCAATTTTCTTTTCATCATCTCAGTTTTTGTCATGAGAACATCCCTAAGCCAGTGATGGTAGCAAGGAGAATGTGACACTTACCTGGCTCATGTCTCAGTCCCTTCATTTGACCACACACCTTGTGAGCTGCAGAAGAAGAGGAAATGGACGATGAGGAGGGAAACAGCAATGGTCACAACACATGCTTTCTACAGTCATGGACCTGCTTCCAAGAAAAGAGGGCTCAGTCTATGAAATCAGACTATTTTCAAAGGCCCAGGAGATTACTGATTCCTTCCAGAAATTCATTCTTGTATTTTTAATGACTGCTCAAGTTTATGATCAGTAAGTGATCAATAGTTAGAGAACTATGGTATCCATTTTCTAGATGGAGAAATGGAGGCCTAGAAAGGATGACTTCACTGTTACCCTTACCGTGCAGTAATTATCTCTCTCATATCTCCTATTTTGTTGATGCTAAGATACGCTTTTTTTTTTTTCACATGTTAGCTTCTCTGAAATTGGGCTGAGTGGTAGTTATTAAGCTGTCCAAAAATATGCCAGTTCTCCTCATTTTGGGAACAAGGTGCCATTGCACTTCTCCACTTGCATAGCCCTTTGAAGTTAGACAACCTGCTTTGGCCAACAGTGTGGTCCCTTAAAAAAAGAGAATTTTTTATTCATGTTATTGAAAATTCCTGGCTTCAGGCACAGCTAGATCCAGGGGCTTGAATAAGATCAAATGTCCCCACAGCTTGGACTCTTATATCTGATCTGCTTCATGCTAGGGGAGAGAAAGAGTTCCCCCAGCAGAGAGCTATGCCAGCAGCCTCAGGAAAAAGAATCAATTTTCTTTTCATCATCTCAGTTTTTGTCATGAGAACATCCCTAAGCCAGTGATGGTAGCAAGGAGAATGTGACACTTACCTGGCTCATGTCTCAGTCCCTTCATTTGACCACACACCTTGTGAGCTGCAGAAGAAGAGGAAATGGACGATGAGGAGGGAAACAGCAATGGTCACAACACATGCTTTCTACAGTCATGGACCTGCTTCCAAGAAAAGAGGGCTCAGTCTATGAAATCAGACTATTTTCAAAGGCCCAGGAGATTACTGATTCCTTCCAGAAATTCATTCTTGTATTTTTAATGACTGCTCAAGTTTATGATCAGTAAGTGATCAATAGTTAGAGAACTATGGTATCCATTTTCTAGATGGAGAAATGGAGGCCTAGAAAGGATGACTTCACTGTTACCCTTACCGTGCAGTAATTATCTCTCTCATATCTCCTATTTTGTTGATGCTAAGATACGCTTTTTTTTTTTCACATGTTAGCTTCTCTGAAATTGGGCTGAGTGGTAGTTATTAAGCTGTCCAAAAATATGCCAGTTCTCCTCATTTTGGGAACAAGGTGCCATTGCACTTCTCCACTTGCATAGCCCTTTGAAGTTAGACAACCTGCTTTGGCCAACAGTGTGGTCCCTGAGTGAAAGCCTTGAAGAGCCAGTGCAGTTTGCCATGGACTTTTGTCCAAATGATCACGGAAACACACAATGAGATGGAGCTTCCCCTGTGGGCTGAATTGTGTCCCCTCCAAATTCATATGTTGAAGTCCTAACCCCTAGTATCTCAGAATGGGACCGTATCTGGAACCAGGATCTTTAAGGAGATAATTAAGAAAATGAAAATGAGGTCATTAGGATGGGCTCTAAACCAAAGAGCTGATGTCCATATAAGAACAGGAGAATAGGGGATTCACAGGCAAGACCATGTGAAGGCACATGGAGACGATGGCCATCAACAAGCCAAGGAGAGAGGCCTCAGAAGAAACCAACCCTGCTGACACCTTAGACTTGGACTTCTAGGGTTCAGAACCATGAGACAGTATGTTTCTGTTGTGTAAGCCACCCAGTCTGTGGTGCTTTGTTACGACAGTTTGAACAAACTAATACAGTCCCCCAGTGACCACAGTGAGCTGAGGCCTCCCAACCCCTGCATTTTACACATAAGGTGCTAGAAAGAGACTGGTTACAGAGGCCACCAGAACTTTGCAGTTGTTTGTTACTGTAGCATAATCAATTCTATCCTAACCAAAAAGGATACATCTCACAGTTGATAAAAGAAGAAGGCAATGTGCCACAGCTTAACAGGCAGTCTTTTTTCCTTCTTAGAAGGCAATACAGTAATCATCTTGCAACCAGTTATCACTCTACACTAGTTAAGACATGGTACTGACGCCCTTACTAGTTCATAAAATATGTGTATATCCACTACTACTTGGCATTTCCACAACAACGCAGTTGTAGAAGGAATAATAATAGTGCTAACATAGTCAAGCACTTACCTTGGGATAGCTACAATGCCAAATACTTTCTATACTTTATATTTTTAATCCTCTCAGAAAAACCCATGAGACTTTTGTCATCCCCATTTGAAGATGAGGAAATGTGAAGAGGTGAAATGAACTCACTGCCTCCCCTACCCCAGTAAACTGTGGAGCTCAAACCAAGTTCTCCAAACCTGGGGACTCTGCTGTGTTCCTGGAGGCTGTCTGCCCATAAAGCCTTTCTTTTCATTTTCTAAATATCATTTATCTTTTATTTTTGAATGTGTACTCTGCTTAAGAGTAATAAAACTTGTATTTTTTTAGTTTAGTAATTTAAGCTTTCCAAAGAAATCTAGGAAGCTTCTCTCATTCCAACTTCAAACAACTTCAAATATCTACATAGGTATAGTTAACCGCTACATATAAATACGGTGGAATTTTTTATGCATATTCTGCTCCAGCTTGCACAAGAAAGAGGCCATCTTCGGTGAGGGATTTATTGTACTTGTTACACTGTGAGCCTGACCCCTGGGTGGGTGGGGAGAAAAATGAAATTTTCAGGGAAAGGATCTGAAAAGGACTACAATTAATCACAAACTCTGAACATGTTCAATTAAGAGTGATTCTGAAAGTGTATGATGTCTGATGATGTCAGACTCTGTCATGGCTGTGAGTTTAAGACTTGTTTTCCAAAACAAACATGAGGAATCATCCTGTCTTGTTTCTAACTCCAAACATACATTTGTTGCACCTCTTAAGCTGGAAAAGGAATCATGTAAGTGCCTACTATGTGCCAAGTGGTTACATAGAGTGGCTCCTTTAATCCTTTAACAACCCCAGGAAAGACTGCTGCACATGAAGTTGGGCTCAGAGAGGTGAAGTGACTTATCCCAAATCACACAGCTAGGAAGTGGAGTGGAATTTGAATCCAGCCCAGCCATTCTGAAGACCATTTTTCTGGCTTCCACAACCACACTCACCACCCTCATTTCTATCCAAGGTCAGTTTCCATTTATATATTATCACTTTCCTTTCCTTCCAAGCATTGGCCTCAGTTTTAATTATGTGTTTATTAGAGTAATTAGATAAATCTTCCCCACCAGACTAAGCTCCATGTAAACAGATTTTGCCACATCTGATTTTGGCAATGATTTGTGTAAGTCACTTTTGGTTGCTACCTATTGTTCATCTCACCTCTTTTCTCCTTGCCAGCTGAGCCAAGTGTTTGTTCTGGTGTCTACCTCCCCTTCAAGTGACTCAAGGATAAATCCCAGTTAATCTAAACCACTCGAAGTCTGAGCCACTAATTCCCCTTACCAGTAATGGACTGAGGAGATAGGCATGAGGGCCGGTTCTGGCACCAGTAATGGACTGAGGAGATAGGCATGAGGGCCGGTTCTGGCCAATGAGATCTGAAGGGAAGACAACTGGGGGAATTCTGAGAAAAGGTTCTCTGCCCTTAAAGCAAAGGCATAGGGAAAGACAGTCTCTCCTCTACCTCTTGGCATTGTCATGTGTTCATAAGATGCTTGGAACTAGAGCAGCTGTCGTGTGACTGTGTAAAGAGCTAGCCAAAGGACAAAGCTGGGAACAGAGGGGAAAGATGGAAAGAACATCATGTGAGAGTTGTGAGAATTAAGTAACACATTTATTATTCATCTTGCTATTATTTATTGAGTTACTACTAAATACTAGGCAATGGGAAAGTGCAATTGAACACAAAATCAAAAGGGCCCCTTCCCTTAAGAAGTTCCCTCTAGTGAGAGAAGCAGACATTTAAATAAGAAAACATTGATATACAATTGCAGGGAGTTATAATTCCAGAAAAAAATAGAGTAACTTATGTTATAATAACTCTCCTGCAAATAACAATATATACCCTGGACAAAACAGCTATTTGAAGGCAGTGGAGCATCACCAAAAGCAGACAGAAACTGGAAGGAGGTTGATGAGACTTTTGCCTGAGAATATGCCCTAATCTGTGTACCTCAGAGTGGCTAGAATGTAAGAAAAAGCCTATTATACTGGCTTGAAAAGTCAGAGGAGGAAGTCTGAAGTTGTCAGAAGTGTAAAAAGCAAGTGGAAAATACTGGAAAGGAGAGAGCCATGATATGTAAAACCTTAGGTATCTTTATTAAAAACTCAACCTCAATTCTTGTTGACTCCTGAACTGTGTGTCAGGAAGATTCCAAAGTTCCCAGCAAAAAGCAATAGCTGGGAGGTTGAAGAAATTGAGCCATTCCAGTTCAATTGGAGTTTGGAGTCTAAATTCAACCTAGTTAACTGCTTGCTGGAACAAAAGTCAACATTCTTCAAAGGAAGATAACTGAATCCAGAGGCTGTATTAGCTATTGTTAAAAATCTTCAGAATCCCATAAAAAATTACAGACATGCAAAAAAAAAAAAAAAGGAAGTGTGACTTATAGTCAAGAGAAAAAAATAACAGTCAATAGAAACCAACTCTGAGACAAGTTTTTTCCCTTGAACCATTTTGGATATGTTGCATACAAATATTTTGTATTTCAGTGTGTATTTCCTAAGGATATAGATATGTTCTTAAATAGCCATAGTTTAGTTATCAATTTCAGCATATTTAAAATTGATATAATACTTTTATCTAATTTAACATTGATACAAAACTTTTATTCAATTCTAATTTTGTCAAAATTTTGCCAATCTTGTGTCAATAATGTGCTATTTAGAATTTTTTCTCTCCATTTTAGCATCCAGTCTGGGATCAGGTATTGAATTTAGTTGTCATGTCTTTTTAGTCTCTTTTTAATCTGTAATATATCCACAGCCTTCTGTCTTTTATAACATTGACATTTTTAAAGAATTCAGTTCCTTCTTTTTAAAAATAGAAAGGTCATTATTCTTTTTGCTTTGCTCTCTCTTTATAGTTAAATTCAGCTTTGTATTCCAGAATGTGATGGTGTGTCCTTCTCAGGTCATTGCATTTGATGGCAAACAATGTCCATCCACCCCTCAATCCTGATGTTAATTTTGATCAGGCAGAGGTGTTCTCCTATTTATCTACTATAGAGTTACTATTTTTCACTTCCAACTGATATGGGATCTGGGGAGAGACACCTTAACACCATGCAAATATCCTACTCCTCCTCAAAATCCCCCTCTAGATTTAGCATCCTTGGAGTGTCCTTGCCTGGACCATCTTACCATCATGGTTTCTGAATGATGATTTTAAATGCCAGCAGCCTCCACATTTGCCAGTCAGCCAACACTCTGCAGTAAGTGAACAGTCTCCCTACTTCCCATGTACTTATCTATTTATCTATTTTGATCGTTATTGATTCAAGGATTATTATTTTTTCAATGGCCTATCATGAATTGCTGTCCCTAATTTGGTACTCAAGTTGTTCCATTTTTGACCAGTGAGAGCCCCTTCAAGCTGGCTTCAATGCCTTCTGACTTGCCCCACCACTTTACTTTCTGGCATAACAAGGTATTTCAGGCTTGTCTTGTACCCACCCTGCATCAGCCCTGAGCTCAGCCATTTGTCTGAGGATCCCTGGTTCCTTTTAGGAAACCAAGATCTAGACACTAGGGAGGCTAACTGTTCCATAGACTATTTTACAGAAATCAACAAAGTGACTCTAAAATATATGTGGAACTGGAAAGTACCTAAAATAGCCAAGTAATCTTGGGAAAGCTGAAAGACTTATTCTACCAGACCTCAAGACTTACTATATGTGGTAATACATATATTCCACCCTGCTGACCTTATTTCACCTTAATTACCTCCTTAAAGACCCTGTCTGTCTGTATAATAATCAATAGGTTATGGGAATGGCAAAGAGATAAGCAATCTGACGTAAGAGAATTGAGAGCTCAGAAGCAGAACTACACATATAGAGCAATAAATTCTTTTTTTTTTTACAAAAGCACTAAAGCAACTGGAGAAAATATTTTCAACATATGGTCTAGAACAATAGATATTCATATTTTAAAAAAACTCAGCCCTTACCTCTTACTATAAAAACTAACTGAAGAATAACCAAAGATCTATGCATAAAAGCTGAATCTAAAACAAAGTCTCTAGAAGAAAACATCTTCATGAACATAGGGTAGGCAAAAATTTCTTAGGACTCAGAAAATCAAGAGAATTTCAACAAATTAGTCTTTATCAAAATTTAAAACTTCTGCTTATCAGAACACACCATCAAGACATATAAATAAGCAGGGCGCAGACCAGGAGAAAATGTGTGTAAAACATATCTGACAAGGATTTGTATCCAAAACAATATATAAAGAACTCCTACAACTCAAAAACAAAAAATATTTGTTATTTTATTGTCAAAACTTGAACAGATGTTTCACAAAGGAATACCTTGGAAAAGTTCTCAACATCATTAAATGTCAGAAAAATGTGAATTAAAATTACAATGAGGTACCTCTACATAGCTACTAGGATGGCCAAAATTTAAAACACTGACAATTTTAAATGTTGGCTAGAATGTGAAGCAGCAGGAATTCTTATACATTGTGTTGAAAGTACAAAATGGCACAACACTTTAGAAAACTAACTGGTTGTTTCTTAAAAAGTTAAATATGTTAGCTGTACTCAATAAAGCTATTACTCTCCCCCCACCTACCCCACCAAAAAAACATGAAAAAAAAGTAAAGTATACACATACTCTATAATCCACTAATCCCACTTTTAGGTACTTATCCAAGAGCAATGAAAATATATGCTCACAAAAGCACATTTACATGAATTCTCATAGCAGCTTTATTCATTATAGGCCCAAACTGGAAATAACCCAAACGTCCATCAATAGGAGAATGAATAAACACACTGTGGTATGTTCATAAAATGGAGTACTGCTTAGCAAAAAGAAGGAACAAACTAACAACATGAATGCCTCTCCCACACATCATGCTACTTGAAAGGCACAAAAAATACACATACTTTTTTGTGTAATTCCATTTCTATAAATGCATAATTCCATTTCTATAAAGTGCTAGGATAGTCAAAATCTAAATGATGAGCCTAGATTTTTTTAAAAATCAAAAAGTTGGTGTGGAAAGAAGTATACATGTAATTTCCAGTTTTGTCAGTTGGTTCTAGAAGCAATGACACATAGGCAGCAAGCGCACATCTTGCACTCAGATCCTGTTTTCTAAATACCATTCTCCACTAAAAGGAACCAACAAATGCTTCCTGGGAAAAAAGTTGATTTCAGGGACGGAGCAGATGAGGGGGGAACTTGTAGCTGCTCTCAAAAGCAAGGTTGTCCTCAAAGAATGGATGTATGTCAAAAGGACACACTAGCTTGGAGGGCTCCCACTGCCAAATCTGAGATAACTTAAATATAAAAATAAATATTTAACATTGAGTGAAATAAGAAGCCAGGGGCCCATACTGACACAATTCCCCCACCCCCTCAAAATAAATGGGTAAAACAGAAAGCCCTCTCTTATAATAGAATGCCGGTTAATTAACATAAGAGGAGTGATAGAATTAGAAAATTATTAATGGATGATAAAACTACTGGATGAATGTTTGGTGAAGAGTGAGATATTTACACAGTCTCAGACTATCTCCCCACGGATGTTTTATTGCACACAAAAGGGAAAAGTAAGGTTATGATGAGGAAACTCATAGGCACTTCATTTTAACCAAGTGAACAAGCTAACATCACCAGAACAGGGACAAAGCAATCCCATGTGCTGCCTGACATGATGCTGTGAAAAAAGTCGCAGCATCACTTTGGTGGTATTCTTGACAAAAAAAATGTATAATATGAATATAATTGTGAGGAAACACCACAGAAACTCGAATCTAGGGACATTTTGCAAAATAACTAGCCTTTAATCTTCAAAAGGGTTATGGCCATGAAAGACAAAGAGACTATGTTAAAGAAGTCTAGTCTATGTTAAAGAAGACAAAAAAAACCTACTAGTCAATGAAATCCTAGTCCCAAGTTGACTCCTTGACCAGGGAAAATGGCTCTTAAAGACTAGATTATTGGGTCAACTGATAAATTTGAATGTGGCCTGTGAATTACTAACAAAATTGCATTAATGTTAATTTTCCTGATTTTGATCCTCATATTGTTATGAAAGAGAAGGTTTTTATTCTTAGGCAAGACACATTGAAATAGTTAGGGTTAAGGGGCATCATTACATATGGAGAGAAGAGAATGAATGAGGGAATGAATGATAAAGCAAATGGGACAGCAGGTAAATAATTGGTGAATCATGGTAAAGGATATGTAAGAATACTTTATCTTGTTCTTGCAACTTTTTCTGTAGGTTGGAAGTTATATAAAAATAAAACGTTTAAAAACATTCAGTTGTGCATTTTGAGAAGTTCAGTGAAGGGATATTGCATGTAAGGCACTTAGCCCAGGGTAGTAAAGAGATTCCTACTAGATACTACCTACTGTTCTTATAAGCAGAAGAAGACAGGAAGGAAGGAGCTGAGTATCACAGCAGTAATAACTCAGCTCGCTTTTTATCCAGCTCTCTCCTTATAGGTGAGGTGGATGGGCCCAAAGATAGGGAACTCCTGAGGGGTGTAATTCAGGGGCTTTTTGTTTGGCATTTTTTGGCTTTTTTTTCCCACCATGTATCAAAAATAGCCACAATGTACAGGGAAATGTGGGCTTCGATAATGGGGATATATTTTCAAAATAGGCCTTAACAATTATATAATGCAATCCAAAGCTCCACATACCTCAACTTTATTCCTGCAGTGCACAGTAACAGCCCTGGAACAAGTGATGGCTCCATCTTCAAACTGTGGATGAGTCTACACTCATGCAGTTGACATGTCTGTCATTTGCTCTATATTGGCCAGGACACCAGTCAAGACCTTTAAGGTAGAAAATAACAGAAAACCCAACCTGGAATAGACTAAGCAAAAAGGGAATATATGTAAATAAATAATCCAGGACAGTACTGGGTTCAGGCATGGCTTGATTCAGCACCTTAGACCCTGGAATCTAGTCTCTCTCTGTCTCTGCATTGCACTCCACTCTCCTGAATCTGCAGGCACCACAAGCTGACAAAACCTGTAGATCCAGGTTCCCCTCATGTCCAAACTTAGCAGGGAACAGCGAATGCCTTTCCATGGTGGTTAAGAAACAGCCTTAGGGTTGTCTTTGATGGCCCCATTTGTTTTGATCTGAAGCATGTGTCCCTTCCTGGACCAGTAACTCTGGTAAGGAGCGCAACACACACTGATTGAGCTTAAGCCAAACATAAGCGTTCTAGTCTGGGGCTGCAAAAGGCTGCACATTACAGTGTAAGTGGTAAGCATTATCCAAAGCAAAATAGGAGCAGTCTTAAGAGTGAATGGATGTTGAACACTTCTAAGCTAACCTGACCCAACAACAGCTGCTGAAAGGATTGCCCCTATTTCTCTTGTGACTCATTCCCTCTCTATACGCATGCATCCAAACCAGAAAACTGAGCAACTGAACCGAAGGGAACCAATCCACAGGCCTGGCTGAGAGCCCATCAGATGCCTTCTCTGTGATAGAGTAATTGCATAAGTGTCCTCGATTCTTCAGCCTTCCCAGTAGCCATATGCTTTGCAAAGTGACATTGCAGCTTCTCCCATCCAGAGGTAGAGCCTATGTCCCCTCCCATGAACCTAGAACTTGTGACTTACTTGAGACTTGTGACTTCCTTGGAACGATAGAATGCAGGAGAAGCAATGGTGTACAAGTTCCTGACTGGGGCTCAGGAGGCCTTGAATACTGCATGCTCTCTCTCTTTTGCTTGCTTCTTTGCTTCTATGACTGAGCTAGTCTGTTGGATGATGAGATAAACAGAGCAGAATCAAGTCAGCCTATTTGCCCCTGGTGAAGTCCAGACATGTGAGAAAGCCTATCCAAGATTCCCAAAGCCACCCAGCTAACCCAAAACAGACCACCGATGCACACGTGAGTCCTGCCAAGTTCAACTCAGCTCAGTCCAAATGAACTGCCCAGCAACCCACAGACTAGTGTGCAAAAATAAATGCTTATTGCTATATGCCACCAAGGGGTTAATGATTGTGAGGCAGCATTATTATGGCAATAGGTAATGGATACACTCTCCAAAAAACATCAGAGAGTCCCAGAGATGGCAGCCATGGTGGATGGTGGATGCTGAACTTGTAGAGTGATGTGTAGATGGGGTTAGATGGAGGTGGTGCAAACCTTCTGGTACAAGCCAAAATTGTGGAGAGACAGAAACCACCAGAAGGCAGAGAGGCTGCTCTGTTGCCTCTTGGAGAGAAACAGATGCCAGGCGACACCACAAAGGGAGAAATGGGGTGATGAGTTGCCAGGACCACAGGCCGGGCTTTACTTGGCACTCTCTCTTCATGAGAATCCCTTTTATTGTCCCCCAATTTATCACCTTTTAATCTGAGCTATTTTAATGAGTTTCTGTTCCTTCCAACTATTCTTTACTACTGCGGTGTTAGATCTCAACGTTCATTAAAAGTAATGTAATTTTACAAATATCTGGGCGCCCAAATATTGCCCAGAACTTGGTCACATGGCCAGAAATACCAAGAGACAGTTTTAGGATCTATGCCCACCTCCACGATTCAAAGTCACAGGGGCTTCTGGACAGGCATCATTTCATCCTGCCCTATCACACCTTCTTAAAACTGAGCCACGTGGAGAGTTCAGGCATCTGTTTCTTCAGACCTATCTCTTGGGGTATATGGCAAAGGCAGCTGCTTACACCTTAACCAAGAATCACGACTCCTGGGAAACATGAGATTCTATCCTGAAAGTGTGACCATGTCCAGAAAATGGTGGGGCCCCTTCCAAATCTGTGATTGCAGAGTGGTCAGGATGGTTCAGCAAGAAAATATAAACTCCGTTTCCAGTGCCTAAATGCATGTGCCCAGTTTGAACCTGGGCTTGTGCACATCAGCTGACAGAAGGGCACGTGACTCATGCCCTTTTCCCTGCAGCTGCAACTGCAGATTCACTTAGAAGTCACTTCACATCCTTAAGGACATACAAACCTCGAGGAACCACATGGGGGCCATCAAGTCAGGAGGTCAGGTCTCTCCAAAGCCTTCACATCCCCAAATTCTCAGATCTGAGGAATCCCAAAATTTCCCCCAGGAAGTGGCATGACACTAAGTGGATTCTTCAAACTTCTTTCAAATATCCCTCAAACTGATGATAGAAAAGGCACTACTAGTACTTTTAAAAATTCACAGTCTCCATTGATTTCTTCCTCCCTCACATCCTACAATGAACTCAGCTCAGCTGTGGAGTTCTCAGCTCAGACCTTGCTGAGGGTTGAGGGATGAAAGGAGGCTATGGTGGCCTCCTTTTCTGAATCTCACAAAGGGTTAAACAGTTTTTCCCTTTTCCTGCAGGTGCCCCCTCTGGGGTAAGTGAACTCAGCTTTTCCATGTTTAGACCAAACGCTTCAAATTCCTTCCTGGCAGGTGTTCATGGATGTGAGCAAATTAAATTTTGAAAGTATTTTTCCCACAACTCCCAGGCCTACGATGTAGGTTGCATGTTGGGAGTCCGGGCTCGCCAGCATTGCCTCTCTGAGGCACTGGAGGCCAGGACAGATTAAAAGGAGAAGTAAGAAAGCATGGGATTCAGAATCAGGAAAACCTGGGTTTGACTTCCAGCACAGACACTAGCCGTGCAACTAGGGCAGCGTGAGCCCAGGTGTCTTCATTTGTAAAGCAGGTACACACACGCTTTCTTCTCTGGAGCATTTGGGAATCCAGTAAGATGGAGGTGCCTGGCTCATACTTAGCATTTAATGTTCGGTGTCTATTAGTCAGGGTTCTTGATTGCAAGCTGTGTGGTAATCAAATGGAATTTATTGGAAGGCTATCAGTGGCTCATGGAATTGGCAGAGAGGAGTGATGAGGTTTGGAAAATGGCCAGGAACCAAGAGATTGCCAGAAGGTTAAGCAACAGGGCCTTAGTAAGGTCATGGGACTAGATGACTAGCCCGCCACCGCTGCCGCGGGCCTGGAGCACCTGCAGCGCTTCCTCCCAGCCTCGAAGGCTCACTCAAGGTTCCTGGTCCCGGAGAGAACCTCCGCTTGCCCTCCCTGGATTATATATGCCCACCTTCCGGCTGCAGCGGGAACAGAGAGGAAGAACTGGCTGTGCTTCTGTGGAGGAGGCAGGCACACCCTTGACTCCCCACCATGGGTGGGTCTCCGTGGGGAAATCCAAGTGCTGCTAGAAGCCCACTGGCTGCTGAAGCAGACCCACCCCTACACATGCTGGCACAGATGTTACTGCTCCAGCCCAGGAGAGAAGGCAGCTACTCCTGTGAGACTGGGGCGGTTATGCGGCATGGAGGGGAAGAGTAGGCTTGGGCTTCCAGCAAACTCCGTTTCCTGATGTGAGAGAAGCTGACAGGCACAGTGCCCAAGCCATCATTGATCCTGCCTGTGTGACCTTGGGAGAGCAGCGTCACCTGTCTGAGCTTCCCTCTGAGCTACAGCTGTGAGGGTCCAACAGGATGACCCGCTCAGATCACACCAGAGCAAGAGCAGGTGCGTGGCAAACAGTCAGAGTTCCCCCTCGGCAAAGAAGCAGAGGGGTGACCATGCCACACCCGTGGTGCGGGCAGGTTGCTGACCTGAGCTGGGAGGCAAATGGCTTTCTCAGAGAGGACACAGACACTCACTAATGTTGATGAGTCCAGGCTGTTCTGGGGCTTCCAGCAATAACACACTGTTATTAACAACTCCGAGCCTGGGATATGTGTGTCCCTCCTAATACAAAGATGACTCCACACCTAAAATACCACCCCCTTCCCCCAAATATCACTCAATCCTGTCCTGGGAGGGTTTCCAGGCATGTTGAGCAACTTACCTATTTTGCAGCCCAGAGCTTCCCATCCCACCCACTCGTGACTGCTAAAATGTCAGAGAAAGCCCGGCCCAGCTTCCTGTAACCTGAGAGCTGCCAAGGGCAGCCACCCACCGGAAAGAGAATCTGGTTCAGTGAAAACACTGGAGAAAGAGCAGACATACACATCTCTCTTTCTCTTTTTTCTGGAAGATGATTTTCCAGTCAGCCACGAGATCCGTTTTCTAAATGAGAAAATAATGGCCTGTATGTAGCAATGTGGAGCCGAAGCATTTGTCACTGATAAACTATGTAGCATTTATGAAGTACCTATTCTGTAAGGGGTGGTCTATTTCAGGCCTCTAAGGGATGAGAGGGGAAAGGCAAAACAAACATGGGATTTGTGTGCTGCCCCTCTTCTCCCCATTTCCAGCCTCCCTTCCTGGCTGTTTGCTTCCACTGCACTACGGGCTGACGATGTCACATCCGCACTTGACTCTCTTTGTAGACTTTCCATTACCTTCAGGAGCCTCTTGGCACACCTGACAGAAGTGCTTTAGGACCCAGTTCCTGCCCACTTCTCTAGACTTTCTTCCTTTCCTGTCCCTCATGCCTTCTACCTCCGGGCCATTCACTCTCTTTGGTTTTTCATTCATCCAGTACCCGAATACCTACTGGGCAGCCGCTCCCAATCTGATACTCTGTCAGCTGCTGGGGATACAGCAGACAAGACGAACGAGAATCTTTCTCTTAATAAGCTTGTATTCTAGCAGAAGGTAAATGACACAGAGAGGAAGAAAGAAACAGGAGCATTTCCGACTCTAAAAAGTGATACAAGGAAAATACAACAAGATGATGCAATAGAAAGTGATGGGGAAGGGGCCAGGTGCATTCAGACGGGGTGGTAAGGGAAGGGGGGATGTGTGAGTTGAGAACCAGACCATCCAAATGACTTGCAGTTCCACGATCGTCCGATGCTTGGTCTGTCTGTGCAAGAGCACATGCTACTGCCTCCTCCAGGGCACCCTCTCCACTCCCAACCCCCGATCCGTCTTCTGCCTCTAAGGCTGACTCAGTATCATCTCCACAGGGAAGCCGTTCCCAGTTTGCTAAGGGTCAGCCTGGGCCCCCCTCCTCTGTGCTTCCCACATGCCCTGAGCTTTTGTCCAGCTCGACCCCCGCACCACTGCAAAGCACGTCCTGCACCACAGATACCCAGCAGCAGGAGAGCAGGGCCCGGAAGTCAGCCCTGCCTCCTAGGGAGACCCGGGGAAGGAGGAAAAAGCTAGAGGGGACAGGGGCACCCAGATGGGATTTGAGCTTGGTGAGCATCAACAGTTTTTCCAGCATTTTTTATTAAATCCCAAAGGACATGTTTTCCTCCAACTCCTTTTTCCTTTAACTTTCAAGCCATATGGTTCTGATTCATTTATATTTAACTAATTACAACATTGGTTTTGTAAGAACTATTTGATGTCCATGAGTCTTCTGAGCCCTTTCATACAATTTTCTAACCCTTTTTACTGTGAAACCCGAAGTGGGCTTTCGCCAGCAGTAAACAGTGTCCAGAGCCAAAAGGTTACGGTTTGGTCACAGGGACCCGGCCTTGTGGTTACAAGGCCTTGGAACTGGGCAAAATGTGTTTTCGACTCCCAGTGAAATTCTAAAAAGGTTCTCAGAAAAATGATGAGAGAGAACATGTACATAAGACAAGCAGTTCATAAAAGACAAGGCCCTGCCCTTCAGACAAACCCCCTGTGGCTGTGGCTTCCTCCTGCCTGCCCTAGGAAGGCTGGCCAGGAGCTTCATCGCTCCAGAAAGTCCAGAGGCATTTTCACTTTGCAGCCCTGCTCTGCCTCTTAGGATCTTAGAAAGTGGCATTTGTGTAAACAGGTAGGACCTTAAGGGGATGCCAGCGTTCCAGCCAAGTTGGCAGCAAAATCCTATTTTTGTTATGGGGAACCAAAG